CAATGATTAAAAATTAAAAGCCAGGTTATCGGAACCATAATGAGAACCAAATAATAACTTGTAAAGTCTAATGCTATTATTATTTGACTTATTTATAACAGTATTTTTAAAATTTATATGTATTTAGATAACGCCAAGAGAAATATATAGCTCTACATACGTTAGATTTATGTAATTTTCAATAAAAATAGTGATAATTGGTTAAAAAAATTATCATATGTAGTCGATTAATATGTTTAGTTTCCGATATTCGTAACGCATATTAAATAAACTCTCCGTTCCGACCCGCTCTAAAATTATAATTTTCGGGAATATTCGGACTGTTAAACGCAATTAAAATCATACCATATTTGATTGGTGATATGATTTTCCGTGAATAGGTCATACCAATAAATGAAAGTATAATTAAATAACACGCCGTACTTTTCCGATAATCAGGTAATCCTGAATTTTCCCTTGTAATTGTTTGTTTAAGCTGTCAATTTTTTTTACAATATTATTTATATAATGCATTTTATTTTCTCATCCCGATAAGTTTTACTTGGCTAACTGTATATAAAGTCGCTTTTCTGTCTCTTCCCTTCAAGTTTCTCAACAGTGTTCACATTAATATTCCAATTCCAATACCAATTCCAATATCAATTCTTAATACCAAAAAAAAAAAAAATACCAATCATAATACCCAATTTTAACACCGATTCATAAAACTAAAATTTCACAATGTCACCGCAAAGAAGAGTTGAGGAAGAACTTCACGAAAATGCTCACATTGACTACAGTCGTGTTTCTATCAGATGGAACCCTTCAGTTGCTCAATTATACGAAGATGCCTTAAAATATGAGGAAGGATCCGCCATTTCTTCGACTGGAGCTTTAGTAACGGCTTCTGGTAATAAAACGGGTCGTTCTCCTAAAGACAAACGTATAGTTGACGAACCTGGCTCTTCCAAAGAAATTTGGGTAAGTTTTCACATCAAATCGATAATTTAAGTAATTCTGGTATGGATGCAAACGGCTGGCTATAACTGACCTATTTTGATCGAACTGTAAGCGAGGTTTTAGCTGTATATAGTTGTAGCTATAACTGACCTATTTTGTAAGCGACGTTTTAGCTATATATAGTTGTGGCTATAACTTGTTGAAATTCATTTCCATTTAGCGTTAGTGCATGTACAAATTGGGTTTCGAACTTTATGATCGGTTTACGATCTAAATCGGTTTCATTATTCAAACCGATCTATTGGTCGAGTTAGTTAGCCGAGCCGTCAATTATCTCAGCTTAGTCGATCGACTTACGACTTAGCAGAGTTGATTTGCATCTCTAGTCCTTAACGTTAACAAATTCTTTTTTTTAATATATATATTTAATTTTAAAATTTTACGACAATAGTGGGGTCCTGTCAATACAAAGTTACCCGAACATGTCTTTCTTATCAACCGTGAACGCGCTGTTGATTATTTAAATACTCGCAAGAGAATATACGTCTTTGATGGTTTTGCGGGATGGGATCCTAAATACCGCATCAAAGTCCGTGTTGTATCTGCTCGTGCCTATCACTGTTTGTTCATGCGAAACATGTTAATCCGTCCTACTGATGAAGAACTTGAAGATTATGGATCACCTGATTTCACTATCTACAATGCTGGTGCTTTTCCAGCAAATCGTTATACTACTGGTATGACTTCGACCACTTCTGTTGCCATCAACTTTCATATGAATGAAATGGTCATTCTAGGTACAGAATATGCTGGTGAAATGAAAAAGGGAATGTATGTATAATCGTCTTTTTTTATCTTTTACTGTTATTAGTTTTTAGTAATCGTTATCTTAATCATGTTTATATTTTTAATTTTATAGTTTCAGCGTAATGCACTATTACATGCCTATTAAATACAATGTTCTATCATTACATTCATCTACTAACGAAGGTCCTGATGGAGACGTGTCAATTTTCTTTGGTCTATCTGGAACCGGAAAGACTACTCTCTCTGCTGATCCTAAGCGTGCACTAATTGGTGATGATGAACATTGTTGGTCAGATCATGGTATATTTAATATTGAAGGTGGTTGTTATGCAAAATGCATACATTTATCACCCGATAAAGAACCAGAAATTTTCAATGCTATTCAATTTGGTTCAGTCTTAGAAAATGTTATTTATGACCCTAATAGTCGAGTTGTAAATTATGATGATGATGCATTGACAGAAAATACGCGTTGTGCTTATCCTATTGAATATATTCCTAACGCTAAAGTACCATGTGTTTCAACAAATCATCCAAAAAATATCATTTTATTAACTTGTGATGCTTATGGTGTTCTTCCACCGGTCTCCAAACTTTCATCAGATCAAGCCATGTATCACTTTATTTCTGGTTATACAGCTAAGATTGCAGGAACGGAAGAAGGTGTTACACAACCAGAAGCTACTTTTTCAGCTTGTTTTGGTCAACCTTTCCTTGTACTTCATCCAGCACGTTACGCAAAAATGTTGGCAGAAAGAATGGAACATCACTCAGCTGACGCTTGGTTGGTTAATACTGGATGGAACGGTGGTGCATATGGTGTTGGTGAACGTATAAAGCTTAAATATTCCCGTGCTATCATAGATGCTATTCACACTGGAGAACTTGCCAAGGCTGAATATGAACTTTATGATGTTTTTAATTTACAAATTCCAACATCATGTACGGGAGTTCCATCTGAAATACTAAATCCTTCAAAAACCTGGAAAGGTTCTGAAGAGGTTTATATTAATACTAGAAATACTTTGGCTCAAAGTTTCGTTGAAAACTTTATACAATATGAAGATCAAGCTTCACCTGAAGTTTTGCTAGCCGGACCAATCCTTCCCTCAGCCTGAAAGAGTAATACACGTAGTAATATATAACTTTATGACAAAGAAATCACTAAACATTTTTAGTTTACTTATTACATTTAAATATCTTGTCAAAGAAAAATTTGTAATTATTTAGAAATTATTATCTTGGCACAAGAAAATTATAGCAATTTTAGCAATTATCAATAACCTAGAATTTTTCATTTACTTGCATGTTATTTTGTAGTATTTTGTAATCATTACTTAAAAATAAAAAAATTTTTAAGCGTTCTTTTCTTTTAAAATCATAAACTTAAAACTTTTGATCGTGCGTGTACGTCACGCGTACTGACAAAAAAAAAAAAATTCGGAATGTAAAAGAGTAACGCGATTGTTTTGATCATGTTAGAGCTATTGATTATATGGTTAGATTGATAACGTTCAAATGTTCGAGAAATTTCTATTAAAAACAGGCAACCACAAAAATTGGCCTTAATATCGCAAATTACCACAAAACATAAATTCGCGTAATCCTGTAACGGTAATCACTACTGTATCACAATATCACAAAATTAAATCTGTACAAAAATTTCGGTAAGTTTCGGGAAGATAAATGAGTATTCTCGGGGAAAATAAAGTAACGTTAAATCATAATTACTGTATTTAAAATTCGGCTTAGCCAGCTAAGTCAAAGTTGATTAATATTTTTTACCTTCGAATTTATCTGTTATCGGATTTCATCGCGACCTTGCTCGTATTTTACTAAGAGAGTTAATTATCGAATCTGATTGGTTACTTTAACATAAAATCGCGAAAATCAAATGACTAAACCGGCTAAACCGGCTAAATCGATAAAATACAGAACTCAGTTTTTTAATAACATAGAAAATCATCGTCCCCCGTCCGAAGTGTAAAAAAGGTTAGAATAAAACATTAAACATCAGAATAAAGCTTATTTTATTTTATTTTATTTTATTTTTTATCTTACGTTTGATCGTCGCTATGTTTCGGGCCAATTGTTTATTCAGAATACTGTTATTTAATATATATAATTGTACGATTTGGTGCAGTTAACCTGACCAGCACTATAGAATTTTTGAATATAAAAGGCTTGTTTTCAATTAGTGCGACAAATGAATTTTGTGAATCCCATTAATCCTTTGTGAGGATAATGATAATAATAAAACTTTGCTTTTAATTCAGTAATGTTTTAACTATGGATTCTGCAAATTCTGAATATAAAAGTATAAGTAAATGCATTATTTAACTCGGACTGCAAATTTTACAAAGCTAGCAAATTCTTGACGAAATTTGCAATTGTAAAATTCTGTATAACCAATCTCTTTCATATTTCACGTATTAGACGTAGGTTATTAAAACTTCACGTATTTAAATTAAGATGCTTTAGCTTAATTTACTAACAAAAAATCTTAATTAATAGAGATCATAAACATATTTTTCACAAAAACAAATAGGCCTTAAAAAGGAAATCAAAAAGACTTGAAGACTAAAAAAAGTAATTGAAAAGAACTGATCTTTTAACGATTCTAACTATGATACAGCATAAATCATCCAGCGATAGTAGACCCTTATGATAATAGACCGGGTCTTGTATTTAATTGGGATAAAAAGTAAGAGACCTAGGGTTTATAACGTGGTCATACAATATATATCAACATGTATATTATTATTAGGTTTTATATATTTTCACATATAAGATCTTTCTTAAGAGTAGGCTCTTCTTCCTTACCAGACCCTTCCTTGGATTTTAGTTGACTTCAAAAATCCGAATTGTGGTATTGATAAATTTTATTGTTTATGTTGCACTGCAATGTAAAATTCGTAATTTAATTTTATTAACAACTATAATTAGAGGTGATATGAAGAAATATTAAACGAATTCAATCCTTAAAAAAAAAAACTCACAAATAAATCAATAATATTTAGACGAATTGATTCTTTGCTTTAATAACTCATGGATATGTTGTACGTTGCTCTTAAATAACCGTTAATTCAAATTAATGTACCTGAGTTTAAAATTTATACCGATTAAAATGGTAGTTTTAAAAATTAGACTGGTTAATATCAGATATGTAACGTACGTATGTACGTACGTACGTACGTCAAGTTTAATAGAGTTTAATAAATTAGATTGATTATAAAAAAAAAACCAAAAAAAAACATTCTTTGTTATTTTATCTTCCATAATATGGCTTCAAATTCTTTGCTAGTTTTTTCGTTTCTTTCATTTCAAAGCTTTCAAAAAATCGTTGAAGATTACATGAACAATAGAAAAACGAAAGACATATAATGAATCATTCAAAGTATGATCGTTGCCTGGCTATTTTACGA